TGTTATGGTGCATTAATGACATTTATTTTGCAGACATCTATTGCGTTTATGCTGAAAATTGGCAGATTAAATCCGATGCATCTGCTTGTTTCAAAAAAGGCTGTCTTGGCTGCAAATGGTCCCTATTTTAATATTCTCTTGTTTGCCGGTTCTTATTTACGATCCACTGTTCCTTTGAAGTGATTGCTATTTACGATTGACAGCAACTCGATCACACTGGACCAACATTAATTTCCGTCTGGCAGAAGGCAACCAACTGTGAAATATGGGCAATGAGCAACTCTGAAGGTCATTTTTTAGAAATACATTCGCCATCAACTTGCTTCATAAATACTTCATTTTGATTGTCATAGCAATTAAATGCTGACCACGTGAAGCCGAGCAAAATGAGTGACGCTACCAATTTTAGTATGCCTGAAGTTGACCATGTGAAGGAGTTTCTTTTGAATGAAAGCTACTTGCTCAACTGCAGCCACCCAGACATCTTCAATGTGACGCAAGCAGCCCCCATACAGTATGCCAGTGTAATGTACGGTGGCATAATGCCCATTCTGGTTGCTGTCACACTGCTGGCCAACTCGCTGATCATCGCCGTGCTCACTCGTCGACACATGAAGACGCCCACCAATTTGGTGCTATTGTGGATGGCCATTGCCGACCTGCTCACTTTGCTGTCACCAGCTCCGTGGTACTTTTACATGTACACAATGGGCTATCACTCTGTTCTCCTCAATGGCTCTTTCCTCTGCTACGTGTACAATGTCATGACTGAACACGTTCCTATTCTTTTACATAACTCGTCAATTTGGCTCACCATTCTGCTTGCAGCTCAAAGGTAAACAAATGCGCGCTTTTGTCTCTGTCGGCAAACACTAGCTAATGGGCATTAATGAACTCCACTTTACAGGTACATTTACATCTGCCACCCTACCCTGGCAAAGACGCTATGCACCATACCCAAAGTCAATCGGGCTGTTGTCACAATTTTCATTGCTTCAATCTCGGTGCAAGCTAGTCGCTTTTTTGACACTCAGTATGAAAGTGTAACGTGTGCTGACGACCAAAACATGGCCACCACAGCTTGTCTGCAAAAAGTGTCTTCATGGGTGACACGACCTGAAATTTACTTTCCTCTCTACTTTGGTTTCCGCATCGTCTTTGTCAACTTGGGGCCGTGCATTGCACTGGTGATTCTCAATGTACTCCTCTTCAGTGCACTTCAAGTAAGTTTTAGATGAGACACTGTTTTTCGATTAGCAATTGCTTTATAAGCGTGTACTTTTGGATTAAAGTGACGTGACAAGCTTGTTAGAAACAAGAAAATTTTAATTTAAAAATTGTATCAAAATGAACAGTATACACTTTTGATATTGAATTTGCTAATGAAGATGAACCGACCTGGTTTTAAGTAATATTGCATCCTGTAGTTGGCCAGTCATTTTCTTTGTATTTCCCAAATTAAGATCCATTTGTCTTAATTAAGGTCCACTGGAAGGCTTTTTGAAGGGCAGCGTCTACTCTAATTTGATTTCTAAAGCCAATTTTCGCGTAATTGCTGCTGAATTGACATTAATTACTAGAATGAAACCAGTACGGTTTTGGCGCAAACTAGAACAATTGTTGTACCAACTAGTCAGTTTTATTTTGGCCAACTGATTCAATGCATTCATCCATTGATGACCACCAACTGGCAATGACCAAGTTGCCTAATAAATAATCTATTACCTAAAATTACAAAGTAATACTGCTGATATAAAAGTTGGAACAGATAAAAGCCAGATGAACATGTAGTAATAATGTAAAAAGAATGGAAACTAACTGAAAATAATTTTATTGACAGAGAGCTCAAAAAACGAGACTCAAGTTGCTTCAGGATGGAAATGCATCTTCCCGCAAAAAACGCAATGATCTCAGCAACTCAACTACTTATATGCTTATTGTCGTCGTCAGTGTCTTCCTTTGTGTGGAGGTAGGTTACATTAATATTTTGGACAATTCACCTGAATACTTTTACTTCTAGATTCCAATGGCAATAGCAACCATAATACACCTTTTGGTGAACATGGAAATAATCACGTTTGAAGGCGACTCTCATCGTCCGTTCACCCAAATAACAGTACTGCTGGTTAACTTTATCATTATGCTGAGTTTTCCGCTCAACTTTGCCATCTACTGTGGCATGTCTGCTCAGTTCCGAAACACCTTCAAGGCGCTCTTTGTTGGTCGACTGTTTAACCAACGGCTCAATGGCAGCCAGTCACAGGCTGTACCACCTGACTGCAACACGGTCTCACTGGCCATCGTCGGAGACGGCACCAGCTCAGCTCCGATTCGCAAAATGTCCAGCGTCGTTGGCAAACCACCAGCCACCAGGTCGATCCGACAAAATGGGAGCGCTGTTCCCACTGATTAGTATGGTATTTGCTTCCTGTGCAACTTTTTTTCCACTGTAGCATCATGTTTTTTTCAACGGAGAGACAGTCTCTCCAAGTTTGTTGTCAATAACATTGAATAAAGCATTATTATTGAAAAATTTCAAGTCGTAGCTTGCGTTGATTAGCATTTGCGTAATAGCCGCTCAAACAAAAAGGCAAGTGCGGCACAATTGAAACGGCCTATGTGCTAAATGACCACAGCTTGCGGTGCCAAAAGTGCGGCTCAGTGCCTGATCGGCAGAAGATGAAGATGAATTGCTCGCTCGACAAGTGCCACTTGGTGGTGCACACAACTTGTGTGTGCCAACTTGCAAGATTGACAGACGGTTTTGGTGAATGTCTGGCTGCAGTTTGCCAGAAAACAACAGCAGTTGCCTACGTTGTCTACAGTGTCAGCACTCCAGGTTTGCAAGCAGCCAATCAGTAATCAATAAGCAATTAAAAGTACGACGATGTGCAAATTGGCCATCATTTTGTGGGCTCTGGTGAAGGGCACTTAAAGTTTGACTTGTGCACTCTGTCTTTACAGCAAGCACTGTAGTTTCTACTTGCCATTTACGCGCTAATCGATCGTACATGAAATTTAAGCATATTGTAATCATTTTTTGTTTCAAAAAAAGTTTACTCTAAAAACAGCTGTTATTGTGTACTTGATCGTACACTTGTAAATAATTTTCTGAATTTAAAATAAATGAAAACAATCATTAATCAAAAACAGCAAGTTGATTGATATTCTCTAGACGTAAAAGCACTTTTGCTACATTCAGTAAACGTCGTTACATTAAATTAGATTAGATTTTAAGCTTGACACTCAAATGCCAGAATTGTCGTTTCGCATCTAATTATTAATGTAAATTTTTCAGAATTTTATTTTTGCTATAATGATACACCATAACGATTGAGACAGCACAAGTGTTTTTAATGGCAAAGCAAGTGAACAAAAAGCATTTTTCGAGTAATACTATTTGATATCGGATTCACTGGCGCTGCCAATAAAAATGGATGGCATTGATTTATTGCAAAGTCAAGTGAGAATGCATATAGAGCGTAAAAGAGTGCATCCATGAAAACAAATCAAAGTGTGCTGATGCGTCCAATTGATAGGCTCAAAACAAAGGCAAAAATGTGGACAATTAAATTGTGCTTGTACAATAATGAACAAGAGTGATTCGAATGGTAGATGTGATGCTCAATCAATTGCCATGGTTGATGCGGATGACGATGATGATGCGGCTTTCAGTTCAATACGCACAACAAAATCAATGATGAACCAAACAATGTTTTTTCAACAACACAAAAATATGTTGTTTTGTTGTCAAACATATCAATATGCATTCCCTTTATCGTTTTAGTGCATGGCCACATACATGAATTTATTTTTCATTTTGATGTTTTATTTTAAAACAAAACGGAAGTTATACGAGAATTTTTACCGTTTTAAAAAATTGTTTATAATTAAAAATTTATAAAAACAAAAATTTTGTAAAGTGATTTGACAGCTTGACATTTTGTTCAATTACTTTTTTGCAATAATGGCAAACGGTTAACATGTAAAGATCAAAACAGGGAATTGTTAATTAAGTGACTAGTCATGCCAAAAAAAGCCTCATTAGTGAGTGCACATACATTCAATCATACAAATTATTCAATGGTAATTTAAATCAAATAAAAAATAAAAGGATTGTCAAATCAATTTGCCATTTATAAAATATTATTAAATTTTTTAAAATTGGCAAAACAATTTAATAATTATAAAAATTGTTTTAATTTTAATAGTTTTTGTAACTAACTTTTGAAAAATAAAAATTTAAAAAATGAACATTACAATTTAAAAAAACTTGCATAAGATAACTTTATTACTGGTAAAAAATATAAATTACTAAAACTTAGTTGTTTCCGTTAAAAGTTGCTAAATTATCTTTTAACTACAATTTTTATTTTTAAAGTTATATTTAAATCAGTCTAAAGTTTTGATTGTTGCAAGTAACTTTTGATCAAACAGCATGGTCAGTAGCTAAAAAGTATATTACAAATGTTATTTTTTGCATTATTTTTTATCACTTGACCGAACTTGGGTATGTTTACTCAGCCAGATGCTTATTAAAGTGCATTCTTGTTATTCTCTTGAAAGTTCTCAATTGTCACTTTAGTTATTTACATAAAATTAAATGCAAATTGGGAATCTAAGTTATGCTAAACATTGTGATAAAACGCAGAAGGACAGTAACCTTTTCAAAATAGTTTTTTATAAACTAAATTTAAAAAGTTAAGTAAATTAAATAAAAATTTTATTTTAGTTTACCATTGTTCTCTATGACTTTAGTTGACTTATTTTAAATTAAAAAATGGGTTTTTTATTAAACATTTTTTAAGTATTTTATTCTGTGGATTAATAACACCATGTTTATTTAAAGTTTTATGCAAACGATGCATTTTTATAGATAATTTAAAGTTGCATTTGCTATTTATAATTTTTAAAATAAAATATTAAAAATTTTTGTATTTTAATTTTTAAATTGAAAATAAATTTATAAAAAATATGTGACGGTTAATGTTTACAAAAAATTAGAACAGCAAACCATAATTTTGACATAGTACAATAGTAGAATGCATAACAAAACAAATACACGTCAGATCATCAAGATATCATTATTATCTTATTTAACTGATTACTTTTTAGTGCAATGCCAAGATATTTGTTAGGTTTGTCCAGTTCTTTTCAATGAAATGTGTTACTAATTTAAATAAACTTAAGTATTTTTATTTTGTACACAATGAGTGCATTTTCAGCATTGCTGATTGACAGCACTTTTACTTTATTTAAGCCTGGTGTCCGGNCTGATTACTTTTTAGTGCAATGCCAAGATATTTGTTAGGTTTGTCCAGTTCTTTTCAATGAAATGTGTTACTAATTTAAATAAACTTAAGTATTTTTATTTTGTACACAATGAGTGCATTTTCAGCATTGCTGATTGACAGCACTTTTACTTTATTTAAGCCTGGTGTCCGGCGATCAAGGATGTGACGAGATGGGAGAGTTAATGTCCAACAAGTGCTTTTCTTAGTAGTAGTCACTTTTCCTTATCATAGTAAATGATTTCTTTAAACACAGCAAAGACACAGTTGCTTTTCGCAGATCCGTAAATAAACTTTTGGCGCACGTCCACTTGTTTTTCTAGTTTGGCACCATCACATTGATCGGACAGACGCCACTGGCTCTTTCGCTACAACAAAGCTCTACTGCAAACAAACTTTAAATATGTGCCGCATTTGTGAAAACCAAACTTGAACTTATCTCATTTGCAGTAGAGAAAGCCATGTTGTGCAAGAAAAAATGCAGATAAAGTGACATTTTCAGAAAACATAAGTATCACTTGGCATCGTTTCTACATAGGGTGAGCTAATTAGTCAACAAAAAAATGACCAATTGCAAGGTCTAAAAGTTGTTTTCCAGAGACTCATTAGACAGCCAAATATTTGTCTATTCATCTTCGTTGACAGTGGTTGTGAAATGCCTGGATATTTTTTCAGCTTTCAGTTGTTGCTATTATTGCATTTTTATTATTATTTTTTTTGCGATTGTATCTTGTCAATATTTTGCGTGCATCATTTTTTCAACTAGCTTTTAATGTATTAGAGGTTCAAAATTTAAATCTAAACAAAAAAAGTCATTGAAAAAGTATATGAAATAAAAATAAAAAAATAGTTTACGTTTGTACAAATGCTCAATACAAAAAATCTGATTATGTTGGGATGTTAAGCATTTTATTTAAGTACTCGACTAGTACAACTAGTACTAAACAATTTAAATAATAATTGCACTTTTACTTTTGCAATTTAAGGTTGAACTTACTTTTACAGTTGACAAACACATGAAAAGCATCAATTTGAGAAACATTTAAATGATAATTAATGTAAATTATCACTTGTTGTATGCGGTATTATAAGCCGTGTAGTCAAAAAAGGCATTGTTTTTCACCTAATCAAATTGCGTTTTATGGGTATATAAAACTTGTTTTACACAGCACATTTACTGTGAGCAGTAAAGGCTACTGACTTTGAGTTTTATTTCCCATGCCGCAACTGACCGCAAACAGGAAAATTCTTTTGTGCCAGACAATTTTGGGATGCAGACACTGCCCACTGCTGATATAAAATGAACTTTTATTCGACCTACTGTTACCATTTATCACAGACTAGGAAGATTAAGTCACTTTGTAGCTGACAAGAGATGAAAGCCATTTCTAAGCTTTCCTACGCTTAGCGATGAATAATAGTCAGTTTATTTGCTTGCACAAGACGATTACATCACTCGTATCATATCTTCTATCCTCTATTTACCGAAAAACCATCTGCGTTAGACTTGTACTGTGTAATAATAATAGTTGCCTCATTAATTCGATCGAGCAATATATACCTTCCAAGAAAGAACAACTAGCCTGTAATAACAGACAAACTTGCCCATTTCTCTTAATTAGGCACAATTTAAAACTGGGTCATTGCGACCTGCCCATTTGGGGGGTGAACACCTGCAGAGGCGGTTTGCAAACGTGTGAAAATATGCTGTTTAACTTGAAATATAGTTCACCGGTGGACAGTTTATTGACTGTCTAGTCTGGCAATTATAAACTGCTACATGTTTTTAGCATTCTTGCCTCCTCGATCGATCAACTCTCCAGGGGTCGTGCCGGTGAGCAAACCCAGGTTCCCGCCACTGCAGCCGCAATGCAAACAAATGATTGACTGACAGGGGCAACTAGACGATGCACCTTGCCGAAAAGAGCATCAGTAATTGTCCTTCTCATAGCATTGTTGCTTTCTGCTCAATTGTTGCATACTAATCTCGTTTAAA